TTATTTCAAATGGCAGGCGTTTTGATAGATATCATTAGCCATTTAGCTGACTTCGGGCTTCACAGAGGGAAGGTTCATCAAAGTAGCAGAAAGTCGAGGGGTGGGGAACAGAAGAGCGATTCAGAGATGTAAAAGAGGCAGACAGGCACAAAGGTAGAGAAAAAGGTAAGGTGAGTACTGTGGAAGGGGTCGAATATGACAACCAGTAGGGTTGTGGTATTTTGAAGTCAGAAGTCAAATGCCGGTTAATAGACTTTTTGCCGTATGATTATACGTTGCCCAGGGTGCACCACGTGGAGGTAAGTCTATCGCACACCCCGTTTAGTATAATATAGATCTATAGTATTCCTTGTAAAAACTAAAATCGATTTTTATGTCATGAGGACCCCTCCGATATCACGTAAACAGAAAATTCACTCAAAACACATCAAATGAAAACCTACTTCAATGTCAAAAAACTATGCTTTTTTCATAAATATTAATTTTTAAATTAAATAGTTGCTTTTCATTTAATATTTTAGACGGAATTATCCCAAGTGTTGCAGTCACTTTCCGAACGCGCTCGAGCTGGAACGCAGCATATTCAACAACTGCGAACCATTTCAGAGACGGTCCTGGTAAGTCGGAAGTCGATGATTCTATTGGGTGTTACTGTCAAAATGGAACCCTAAAACCAGATTTGGGAAATCTAAGAATATTTGACAAGTTAAGTTCCGTTATGCGTTTTCCGGCCGATCAAGTGCCTAACGCACTTGGAATAAAGTAAATATTCTTTAAAAAAGAATTTTATTTGTGAATAAATTTAAATTACTAAGAAAAATTTTGAATACGAATTGATTGCTTAAATATTTACGATTTAAATATTGACCCGACTCTAAAATATGTAAGAATTATTAAATGCCTTTGCTGTGAAAAATAAGTGGGAGAACTGAATCAATTCCCAAATTCAGAGTGACTACTCGTGAGTTCTACAAGTCAATATGGATTTTGATTGATTGTAATGAGTGTCAGTCAAATTTTGCTTGTAACACCGTGGATTATTTTCTTGACTCATAATTGTCAAAGAGCGAAATCTAATATCATTTTAGAAATCTTGTTTGGTCATACATGTGTGGAGACTTCTTCCGTTAGCGCCGATTTTTAAGTGACGTCAAATGCACACCTCCTGATTATATTTGATCTGAATGTCTGTTCAAGTCTCTCGTAATTTAGTCATCAAATAAGAGTTGCACAAAGTGATGATAAGTGACACGAAGATTAACTACTTCCAAGTTACCCGAGTTCTTAGAATTGCGATAATTTGGAATGTGCTCATACTTTGGTTTCATTTCACCACTATTATTAGTGCATAAATTAGGTAGAGTGTATAATTTTAAACAATTGAAATATGGAACGATTGTCTTCAAAGCTTGCCCAGTTTGAAAACCTACTAATTAATTGGATCGTGAGGCTTTGTAAAATATTTAAAAAGTACTTGGTGTTTAAGGAAACAAAATGGGTCTAAAATCCCTTTCAACGAGGTCAAATAAAATGTCTGACAATCGGTTCAATTGAAATTAGACTGGCAATTTATTGTCTGGGAATGACACACAGCAGAGAGGATCGTGAAGCTCAAACTCAGTGAAGAACTTGAACGACAAATTTTCTAATTTAACTTGCTTAAGATAGAGCCAAGTTTGGGTTTGGTACTGAAATCCCCTATTTAAACTCACCACAAAGTTATATTCATAAAGATGTTGGTGTGTTTATGCTGTAAATTATGAAACCTGCAGAAATATTCATTCAATATTCTGTTAATATGGTAAAATAGAAGTCTCATGGATGATTCTTGCGATTGAATTCCATTTGAATTCTGGATTATTGCTCTCCCTTTGCAATAGCGTCAACTCGAATTAGCTGCTTTCTCAGTCTCCGTAAATAAGTGGGCTTCCCAATATATTTCACCCCTTTTCCATTAACTCCGGAACAGCTCCCTTGGCAGAGTATTCCCCGGCTTATCATGCACCTTCTAATTGATGGGCAGAGACAACCAGATCATATTCAGTGCGCGCACAAATACACGTCTATTTTGGCCCAAGTTTTGCGTAGGGTGTCCGGCAGACAAATGACACTGCGCGCGTCATATTATATCATACTTTCCCCAAGAACAGATTTTTGTTCCCAGTAGAGATATGGACAAATGTATCGCTTTTTGGTACACTGATACCTAATTAGAAATTGAGGTACTAATTACTCCCTAAAAACGATAATTTAAGCGAATTTCAAAGCCCTGACTTACAATGCTATTGTCAATTATTCAATGTCTCGACTGCAGTCTATTTATGCCCATTAAAAGAGATTGAAACTAGCTCCTAATCAATTAATTCATTTCAGTATACTATACTGTGGTTGGTTTGAAAACTCGAGAAAATTTTACCATTTAAAACTACACTACCTCGGTCCAATAAATCGTAGGTAATAATGAATTCAGGGTGTACATTTTGCGCATACAACTAGAGTCGTTTCCAATTATGGGAAATGTTTGAGAGACAACGCGAAAATCAATGGTACACGCTGTCATAGTAGAATGTTGTGTTGTTGAAGGACAGGGCGTGAACTCCATCTCTAACGCTCTTCAGTCCACGTGGGAATGAGAGATGTGAGATGAAATTACCTACCCACTCCTCTTCCTCCTCCTCCTCCTCCTCCCAAAATGGGCGTCATCGCGGCTTTTTACCGGGTGAGACGTGGGAGAAGGAGAATAGTAGCAGTAGTTGTAGTTGGCATCCACGCCCGGAATTTCGTTGCTTGGCTGGAGAAATTCGTATGACACCAGTAGAAGAGTAGTAGGATGCAAGAGCGTACAGATAATGGTTACGTGTCGGGGAATGCTATCGACAAACAGAAATCACTATTTCGGCACAATTATGGTGATTATTAGAATTTAAACAATATACTTAATACGATGTGAATGTCATCTAGAACTCTCATGTAGTAGTAAAGTCGCACAGATAATAGCTTATATTTAGTGAATATTTCGGGCAAAACTTCGCATTTTATGCATTCTATCGTATTTCTCACAGATTTCTCTTCAGTCCATCTGAAAGCATAAAACCGTAAGTTTAAAATACTGTCATCATTGCAGTAGAATTTTCATTCTCTTAATGAATCTTTACATTAAATATAATTTACTCTGGTGGATGACGATTTCTCTTTTCCTCTAAATCATTTCTCTTTAATTTCCCTCCATTTAAATTTAGCTACTTAGCCCAAATGTTAACTCGCTAATTAACCTCAAAGCATTGCTAAGTATAGTCAATTGAGAGGATAACTTGAGGTAAAATAATTAATTGAATTAATTAGATTGGAAATGAACACAGCGAAGCAAGTGAGTTAACTGAGAAGAGAAATTCATTAGAGATTCTAGTGGTGATAAAATTTCAAGAGACCACCAAGGTTGATTTGAGTTGAGAGTGGAGCAGAGTCAAGTTGGGTTGGTCTTCTACTACTAACGAATTAACTTTGCCAAACCAAGCGAATATTTTGCTTCATATGGGAGTGATTCACGCCAGTTTCGGTTCAGCACATTTTTGACCCACTAATCACGCTGATAGAAGAGATAGCTTTGGATTTATCTCAATATAGGTGTAGAAGAGACGTTGTGCAAAAATCATTGTTTACAGCATAGTGTGTACAAACTTGTTTATCCAATAAGCCAATAGTATTTTATCGATTACTAATTTACTAAAATTAATACTCTCAAACTTGATAGAGGTCAATTGATCAGTAATAAACTGTATGATAAATGAACAAATTGTTTCTTAATTCTCTAATTTATGGAATTTTTCGTCGTACTTTTGAGTATTGCAGTTTCAAGACAAACTTACAATCCTAATCATGATAATAAATCTAAGTACAATTTGTGTTAATGTCCTTTACCTGCGAAATTTCAATAATTCCATCATATTGGGAGATTTTATTTTTCTCCAACGACATGATTTTATTATGCAATTTGCAATGTAATGCGCAAGAAAATCACGAAAAGGCTAAACACGATGTCTTAACAAGTCTGTTTAGTGGCGGGTGAAAAGTTATACAATGTTCCATTGGTAAATATGTGAATATACTTTCCTCTAAACACACACACTTTTCACAGGAGTCTAACGTTGAAAAAAAGCAACTTACTCAGGAACCCTGGGACCTGAATATCAAATGTTCGGAAAAATTGTCCTTCGAAGAGGAGCGTTAAAGAGTATTGATAATCATTTACTTTCCTTCTTAAAATAAGCGCCATTAAAATCAGCAAGAACTAATTTTTTTCCATTTAAAACAATAGAATATAATTTGCATGCAAAATAGACTAGATATTTATCAGTTCTTGTGGGGAATGTTCATAAAATATTACTATTTTTGCTTCCAAACAAAAATAAATTTTCCCATCCGTTAAAGACTAGAGTGAAGGAAAGCAAAACGCTCTAATTAGAGCCTGCATCGACTCTTCTTGGAGCAGAGTTTAAAAATATTCACCGAATTTTCACCGCTTGGAAGAAGACCAGTTATTTTGAATTAAATTCTTTGACTTTGAAGATGCTCGTACTTAGTGTCTTCCGATTATACAATCTTCTGGTAGGGATTACCAGACTCGAATTTTCGAAGGTTCTAAATGGAAATAAATTAATCGCGTTGACCGGAAAGTGTGAGTCAGTGTTGCTGAGTACTTGATTGAAGTTTTGATTGGAGTATTTCAGATCGTATGTAGGATTCCAGTTAGAAGTATTTAAGCAAGACGAATACCTTTGAGCAGTGATTTGCTGCGACTAAATTGTGAGAGAAACTTCAAAAATCTTTATATATTTATATTTATTTAAAATATTTATATTTATTATAATCTAAAATATCATATCAACTATGAATTCAGGATTGAAGATAATACTAGCAGCATCTTTTTGAAGTAGAAGTACAGTCTCGCGGAAGCTCTTAACAACTATGGACTAGCCTTAGTTCCACATATTTGTAGGTATAATTCATTCATATCTTGGTATTCCATGAACTGGATCCATAAATCAATACACCTCTAGTCATATTCTCCAGTGATGAATGACACTTCCGAATGAGGGCAGACGTGGTCTATCCAAGAATATAACTTTATTTAAATTTTAGCTGTTTTGAGTCGTCTATAATTTTGCGAATGCTAAGGCTAACTGCTTAGCGTAACCCTGTTCCAAGTATAGGAAGATGACTAGTAGTCTTAAGAGTGAACTCGGCATAAAATAAAATTCCCAGCCTCTCGTGTTTAGGTGACATTCGCTTGTAACTTCAGATCCTCAACCATGCTTGAAAAGAAATATATAAGTTCAAACACAACAAAGAAGTTGCCTCCCCTGTGCATTGAATTTGATTCAAAATTTTATCTTTTAAACATTATGATAGATGATGCGCGACGTGTGAGAAGATAAATATAATATTACCGAGTCTAATAGATTCACCTTGAATGGAAGCAGCATGTGGAGCTCTGATGAGCTAAGAAAAAAACTGTGCTATACATTAAATCTCCGAGTTGTAGAATATCCTGTAAGATTATTTACCACTCCAATCATGCGAAAAAATCAGTGAAGCGAAACCTCTCGCTATAGTTGTACAGGTCAATTAGCATTGAACATCGAAGGAAAGCAGTTAAATTGCACACTATTGGACAAATCGGGAAAATTGAATTTTGGAAAATGAACTCTTCGTCCAGTAAATATTGAACAACTCGAGCTAAAGAAATGAGAGAAATAAGACTGCTCCTCCTGTGCCTTCATAGCCCTCCTTCCCTTTATCGTTTGTTTGATCAACTCTTATTAGTTGTTAGTCGCCTTCCACAATTAAAAATCGTAAATTGTCTGTGTTGTTTTGCGGGAGTAATGATGAACCTATTCTTTCACAATGAGCCTAACTGAGGTGGCATTTTAGCTCCAGCGTATGGTGGAGGGACGATGTGATAATACGATAGGATTGGAAACCTCACCCAAATCATTGCTTGAGGGAAGTATATGCAGGACTTTTAACTTTTTAACACCCAGATATGCTAATGATATTGGTTCGAAAAGGTAAAACCAAATGGCATGTAAGGAATTAAATAAAACGCCTTTTTTCTATTTAGAAACACGAGGTGACAGGGTAAGAACATACAGAAAGTACGAAATGCGACAGATGGTTTTTGAGTATAGAGATTTGGGGACATTTGAGTCATGTTCTCACATGTACTTACGCAGTCTTAGACTATTTCAACTCTTTAACCAATTCTGGCCATTTCAGGGTCATCGGATTTACAGTTCACAGGATTGGGGTAGAATGAGGTTTTATTAGAGTTGATTGCCTGTTCATCGACGCCTCAGCCCAGGAAAAGAATTATAAAGTGCTTTAAAGAGTGTTCGAGCGTTATACCGTAGTCTCTGCTATTGAGAAATTCATGCCTGAACACCTCTGGGAGCCATTGCACATTCCGATCCTTTGATAAACACAAGGGGAACTTTAGCTTTTACGGACTCACGTAGTACTTTAACATCACTTTCACATATTTCAGGAGCTGCATCTACATCAGGCTGACTCCAACTTTGTTGACGTTAATCGTTGAGCATATTCCAAAACTGCATATGGCGTCAAACCTTTACTGCCTGATTTGCCCCCTTTTAAGTGAAATCGAATCCACCTTTTCTGAAGAAGAATTTTTTGTCTCTTTGGATAATGCTGAGTATAAAATCTTACGATTAGTGCATGATGTGTTCAAGCCACAAAATAATTTTTTTAGGAATACAATGGTTTTGGCTAATAAAATTGGAATTTGATTTCAAAGTCATGTGTAGCCTTAAATAGCACGTAAGTATCCGCTTGAATTGTATTTCTGAATTAAAAAGATTAGTTTAATGTTTAATTCAATAAATGTCTAATTCTTAATTTTTATTCAATAGAAATCGGCGAAGCGAGCTGAAGACGACGCCACAGTGAAATTCGATTGTCTAATGCAGACTATAGAGGCGAAGAAATCAGAGCTTATTTCAGCCATAAAAGAGGAGAGAGATAGGAAAATCAACGCATTGAAGGAGCAGATCCATCAGTGTACTTCCAAGCTGACACGGTCGACGGGCCTCATTCAGTTCTGCATTGAGATGCTCAAGGAGAACGATGCCCTTTCCTTCCTTCTTGTGAGTCCACAAAATTTGCTTATACTTCATGATCGAGTTTTAAAAGAAGTTGTTTAGCCTAAAATCACATATCAAGGGCAATGCATATGAAGTTACGTGAAGAACTAAGTGAAAACTCGTCTTGTTAAGATTGCATCTAAGCATCTTGTGTCATTTCCAATTGTTTAGGCAGATGAACGACACAGGCTTGATGAGAAAGGGAGGTTTATCACTGTGAGATAGAATACCACAGTATTCACTTCGAAATTTTAAAAGGAACATGTGTTCTATATTCTCTTTGAGTAGATTAAGCATTTGCTAATGTTGTTTGTCGAATTAGTAAGCACAGCTGCATATTGCTAATAGGTATTATATGAAAATATTTGCACCCAATATCAAATTTCAAAAACATCAACAATATTCTGCTTTTGACGAGTCACCAACTTTTTACTCAATTATAATTCTATCACCAATGAAATTTATCAAAATTTAAATAAATTATCATCAGCAAACAAAAAGAACGTAACATTTTAAAAATAAAGTTTAAAATTAATACCGGTAAGCGTTTTTTAAGAAGCCATGTATTAAATAATAATCTGCTCTAAACTCAAGCCAAATTCCATATATCCTTGAGGCAAGATTTATATGAGTCGTTGTTAATTTTCTTGCATTCAACACGAATTTCTCCAAATGGTTAAATCGTTGCCAATTTAGTGCTTCTCTCTTAGCGCGTCACTAAGCGCCTTATTTGACCTAATCCCTTCCCAAATGGGGAGCAAAAATTGGAACTGAATTTCAGTGCTTATTTGCCCTCGGTAACAAGTTGAAAGCTGCAGTCCACAAACAAAACAGTCGACATAAATTGTTCAGATAATTCTCCTACATCTGGGTGTTAGTTTGATAAGAAAAAGTTATTGTCTGGCATTTCAAAATTTCAAATGTCAACACCGATGTAGTTCTTAGTTGTACACTTGGGATGATATTTGAGTTAGTCTGGGGATATTTTGCCGGCCAAGTAGTAAACTGGTTTAGAACACGTGTGAAAACTTTTAAATTCTTTGCTTATTCAATGCGTGGGATCCAATCGACTCATGAACCTATAAATGTCATTCTGATATTCAGAGTCTATAGTGATCCTCCTTGGTTCAAATTAACCAGGGCTTTTCATAAAATTTCATATTCGACAAAGAAACGGCGCAAATAAGTAAGACAATTCTCCAAAGTTTATAAAATTTCAATTAATTGAACTGGATAGTTTCTGAGATTTAAACAAATTTGTGGAAGTGGTCAGTGAAATAGGCCTAGATTTTGTGGCCTTTCAGCGGCATGTCAGTTTGGCTTAAAGAGATTACCATCATGAAAGTTATAAATATTATAGACATAATAATCTAAATTGGAGCTAGATTTTAACATCCATGTATCCTATTTTATGTCCTACAACTATGAATTAACCGAAAAAATTACTTGTTTCCCCAGATTGTAAATGATAGTTTGATATAGCAAATCTATCCATTTAACTGTGTTTATTTCCCTGGAATGAATTCAAGATTCTTATCGTTCCTAATTATTTGCAAGAACATCGTTTTGTTAGGAAAGGATTCCTTCCAAAGAAGATGTTTCTCATATTAAAAAAAACACATTTTTTCCATTCATAGTGTTGCAGATTTTGAGAGTCAATAAGAAATTGCTAACTGTTTGTAACAGGATAATAAAAAATATGAAATTAGACAAAAATGGTTCAGAAGTAGCTTTAGCGCCAAGGATCATGCGTTCATGTCTGTCAAATATAAGTTGTTCACTTAGAAAAAAAATGTTCTATTATATAACACATTGTAAAACAACTGCATTATTTTAAGCAGTTCCATGTAAAATAATACAGATTTTCCAAGATTTCCGATAACAAAGGGACAATTGAATACATCTCTCTAAATTGTACCCAAAATGAGACATGAATGTCAGAAATTATTTGCGAATCAATCATTTATCTGACTCACCTCAACCCAACCTCATTTATGTCTAACAGGTATCACAGTCCCTGATACACCGTGCACTCCACACAGAACAGTCCTTCCTGCATGCTATCGAAACCCCTCCTGCTGTAATCCAGTATCGACCGCGGGTGCAAGCGTCAGGAACTTCCAGCCAATCCCAACCATCAACACCAGCACATTGGGTGAAAGGACGATCCTCAACATTTGCCCACTCAAGTTTCGTCTCCTTAATGCAGTTGGATGCCATTCATAATGTGATCAGTGATCTCTCTTTGCACGAAGGACTTGGTGCGTTATTGAATACAGATTCCTTTTTATTTCATTTCCTTCATAAAATCTCCAAGAAAATTTTATTACTTTCTGAGCCGGAGAGCTGAAGCTAATCAAGCTGTAACGCAAGTTAAGTTTATGGAGGGAAGGCGGGATTAGGAAATGAGTTGAAATCCTACAAGTCTCACGCAATCACCAGGAAGGGGATTTTTCTATGCTCAATAACGGTCTGTCGATCCGTGTCCGACTCCATTCCAAGTTGACTTTATTTTCATATCTTTCCTTGAATAATTGAATGATTATAACTTCTATGATATCGAAGGATTTCTCCCGCCATTCAGTATTTAATCAAATACGCCTTCTACTCTACATCAACTATATTTGGACGTTTCATTACGGAAAATATCACATATCTGATCTTCTCTCATTTCCCACTATATTAGTAAACGATTTTCTTTAACGAGATCAGTTTTAGCACGCATTATTCCTAATAGACACTGAACGAAAACGAGTGATTATGCTCAGAAGTTGTTATAATTGTATTAAGTTCTCAATATTGGTGGCAGTTGGTTGAAAAGCTCAAATTTATAAAAACCTTGAAATCGTCAAATCGATCTGCTGGAAAGTCGAAAACTTCTAAAGACCTATGAATGAAAATTAATTTCCTTAAAAATTTTAACTAGAATTCGGATTTGAATGAATAATGGGATTTGTATGCTGCATTTACTAACTGGAGAGGTCACAAATTATAATAATGGGTTCAGAATTCTGCGCCTTCATAAAAGATGTTTCTTTCATTATAATTTCAGCTTTGATTGAGCAGATTTAGAGGACTCATGGTAAATTTAACTATGGCTTTTGGGGGACTTTTGCAAATTCGTTCCATAAAAATATTTTACTTCTTCGATTTGAGATTGGTCTCTGTCTCTCGTGCAATTTGACCAAAATTTAGTATCCACTGGGTTGCGACTATTGTGACAACAGGAATAAGTGAAAAAAACACCGACTACTGTTATGGCGATTAATTAACGCGCAAGCTAACTAACCACTGTAACCCACTAAATGAGTGAAATAATCAGCTGAGGTGTTTAAGACTAGCAAAGTCATAAAGATGTGGTATTTGTGTTTCCCGTAATCGCGGTTCAAAAATTTCACACCTTCCTCTCCTCAGTGGGCTCAGGTGTTATTACTCACTGTAATCTATTTAAGAAAATCCTTTCATTACAGATGGGAGGAGTTTTGGTAGTTATCATTAACCCTTTAGCTGACTTCGGGCTTCACAGAGAGGAACATCAAAGTGAGAAAATATCGAGGTAAGGAGGGGGAAAAAATGAGCGATTCACAGATTTAAAAGAGACAGTCAAAAAGGTAGAGAAAAAAGCAAGGTGAGATGAGTACTGTGAAGCGGTGGAATATGACATACAGTTGGGTTCTGGTAATTTGAAGTCAGAAGTCAACTGGCGGTTAATAGACTTTTTG